GCAAAGTTTCTTCCTTGCATTATGAAATGTCTGGAATTATATAGTGATTGACGATCTGTACATATCTTCATTCAGTAAATACTGCTGAACTATACACATGAAAGTGTGAACTTTATGCTAATAAAGTATGAACTCTATGTCAATAAAGCTTTTATTTTAAGAAGAACAAAATGAAGGGCATGGTTCAGGAGGCTGAGCATGGGATATAAACATTGAGTTGACTTATTAGTGTATCCATTAGTGGGTGCCTAGAATTACACTGCCTTCTGTTAGAACAATTTCTCCACCTTTCATCAGATTGACATATTATACTTCTAATATAACCAGAATATAAATTCTGTCTCGCTCATGTCTGCATCTAAAAACCTTATGGCAGTACTGTCTCCTAGCTCACCATGGAATGATTCCGTAAGGGATTGACCACAATTTGATACCTGCTAAAAGTGCACTTAAGATGCACTATTTGGAGGAGACAGTTTAATGTGCATGTTAACTAGCCCTTCTCATAGGTGCTCCAAACTTTATCACAGTGACAAGTTATATCATCAGAGAAATGTTCCAGGGCCGCATGACCCAACTGGGTCATGAGGAGCATCTCATGCATGCAGGAGCATCTCAGTGATGAGTTAGATTACAAATATATTATTTTATATGAGTTATGTTACAAATATATTATACTCCCTGCTTTTACAGAGGGCCTAAGAAATATCCATTTTATTGGCTTATCCATGTCTTCTGAAAACTGTAATTGAAGATCTTTTCTATTACATTACCCAGTGACCCTTATGTAAGGGCCCAGACGATAAATTCCTCTTTGTTTCCAAGGAGAAGTTTGCTTCAGCAGGTGGATAATGTTCCCTTCCCTTGCCTTCTCTTGCATTTACATAGATTTAGACACCATCCAACATAACAGTAACAACCCAAAGGTACTGAACATGAGCTATGAGCCTGTCCCTGTCCTCACTGTATCTAAATTGGCCACCATAGCATCCTATGAAATGCACATTATTTTGTCCTTTCACAAATACGAAAACTGAAGCTGAAAGAGAAAATCCAGCTTGCAGAGACTGTAAATGGCAGAGGTGGGACTGAACCAAGGCAGCCCATCTCCAGAGAGCAAGGCAATTGTAACTTCTGCTTTCCTATAGCTGTAGAGCTGCCTACCCCCACTTCCAAGTCATCTGCAAACCTTTTGAATTAAGGAGGTGTCCATGCTTAGTCCATGTTTGCTTTATTTCCCACAGCTCCTAGCTGAAAATGCCTAATAAATAATTTTGATTGATTCTTCCAAGCTCTGAGTTCCTTGGAAAAATGACCAGTCATAAATTCTGGTGGTTGTTGCTATTAATGATGTGAGCGTTATAATCACACAGTTTGGAAGAGAGAAGGACAGAATTGAAAACAACAACAACAAAAAATCCTTTCTTAGATGAGGTGCCTACTGACTTCATGAGGTACAGTTTGAAGTCTGAGGCCTCTGGGCATTTGCACAAAGTGAGGGTGGATTTAATCATCTCATCTGCTGTAGGTTTCCATAGAGTGACAGGTACTCCCTCTTCCTCTTCCGAACAGATTTACTCTGATAAGCTTGGAAAAAGAGCTCTTTACCCTGCCAGCCTGATTCAGTCTGTCCACAGGGCTGCTTATCAGTGAACATACAGTCACACACCAGCTAGACTGGGAGGCTCACAAGTTTCAGTTAAATTTTCTGTCATTTCTCCTTTTCTCACCCCATTAGCCCATGTAGGTCAGATATCTGACTCCTAAGTGGAGAATAAACTAAAGACTAGTAGAAAACCAAAATTTTTATCAGCAAGGAACCCATCTCAGGGTTGGATGTAGTCAGCTGTTTGGTTTTTTAACTCTGTACTTCCTGAGAGAGTCCTGCTTTAAAGCCCTGCATGTGTATACAAAAGACAGATGTTTTCTATGAGCCTGTTCTTTAAAGTGTAGGCTCAGCCTCAACTGAGAGCTTGTTAGAAATGCAGATACCGGGCTGGGTATTTAGCTCAGTGGCATAAGCGCCTGCCTTGCAAGCAGGCAGTCGTGAGTTCGATCCCTGGTACCGATAAAAAGGAAAAAGACAAAAAAAAAAAAAAAAAGAAAAAGAAAAAAGAAATGCAGATATCCAGTCCACAATTGAGCTCTTCCATCAGAATATGCAGGCAAATTAATATTGAGAAAAAACTGGCTTCATAATGTGGCACCCTCCAGGGCCAGAAGCATTTCATCTGATAGATTGTCCTTGAAGTACTCTGAGGGCCCAATCATTGAATAGCAAGGTGCTGATGTGGTGCCCCAGATATAGTGTACATCTTCAGTGGACTCTCTTACTGTCACACATGTATCCCGGAAGTTGGTGAGGATGGAGTGTAAGTATGTAGAGAGTTAAGTGTGTTCAGAAAAAAAAAAAGGAAAGACAAAATTTCCTTGTAGAATGCAGCAGCCAGCGACAGATAAATAACTGAAGTAAATATGGATCCAACGTGCATGGATCTGTCTGACCTGATGGCCTGCACAGGCTCTTGCCCCATATTGTTTATTACCATGAAGGATAATATTAGAAGGAACCTCAGTAGCTGTGTAGAAAATCCTTACACTAAGAGCACATTCGAGCTCAGAGAAGTAGAGAAACTTAAGGATCACAGTGACAGAGTTCACTGATGCAGTCAGTGCTATAAATCAGAACACACAGGTAAGGCTTTTGTGGCATTAGACTACCTAAAACCCCCAACCTTCCTCTCAAACATATCTAATGCCTATTCTGGAGCGAAGGAAGCCATTCCAGGAGTGAAAGCCATGGTTTTCATCTTGGGTGGAGGTTGGGAGAAATGAGAAGCACCTGATGCTCCCTTTCTTCGTGTGCCCTCCAGAGAGAAGCATGGTTTGGCCCTGGCTGTTGTGCTCCCCCACACCTTGCCTCTCTTTGTACCCCCTTCTCTTTGCCATTTGCCTCTGTGTCCTCCTGGTCATTTAGAAGCCACTCTCCTCTGGACAGTCTAAAAGCAGGTGCAGCTTGGCTATCAGTCACAGTGCTCCAGATGCTGCTGGTGGCTCTTCGAAGGCAAGGCACTCTGCCACGGCTAAAATCTTGAAGAAAAGAATCTGGGCCCATTAGTAACATTCCCAACCTTCCCCAACCCTAATAAGCTGTGATGAATTCATCCATTTCTCATGGAGGAGCAACAGCTGTCAATCACACAGCTCCTCTCTCCCTGCCCTTTAGTTGAATTGCTGCAATGATAGCTATGACTATTCCTGAGCATCCCACGCCTACTTGAACCAATAACGGGCCTGTAGCTGCTCTGTAAGCTGCACTCCCCTCCTACTTCCCAGGCTTGTCTAGAAGGACTCCCCTATGGACTGGTCCCTCTGTGCTGCAGCACGGGCTGTGATCAAATAAAGTCTTGCTTCAATTGGCCTATAAATCTGCCTGTGACTTATTTCTTGAGTAATGTGGGCTCAGAAGGTCTTATAAATCTACTCAGAATTCTTATCCTGAGTAGCAGGGACAGAGGGGTCACTTTAAAAGAAAGAGCAATAAGCATTGAGAGCTGTTAGCCTTGAAGAGCTGTAGAAACCAGCATTCAATAAAGATCAGTGGCAGAGACCCTCAGCCAGTAGAGCTGGCTGATGGCATCAGGGCCACTAGTGGAGTTGTAATTTGTCCATTTATACTTGCTTTTGAAATCAAGCAAAAGATCCTCTCAATTACTTGGCAACAAGGTGACTTCCTTGGTTTTTATTTTCTGTACTGCGCTGTTGGGAGGAACAAGGACTTCAGGCATACAAGAGAGCTCGCTTCTTGCCCATGACCCCAGATCTAACCACTGTGACTACATACCCCAAGGCCTCAGGATGCAGGGGGCCCACAGACACTCTTAGCCCCACATGGGAGATGTTTTTCAGAAACTGTCAGATTTTAATGATATTAAATCTCTCTGATTGGTACTTTATAGAAAATACCATGAAATGAGAGGCAGAATGTTGCAATTTTAAAACATTAGATGAAAAAGTTATCAAAAAAAAAAAAAACCCAGTAAATTGATATGTCAGGCCCATAGAAATCACATCTACACTTTTCAGGGCTAAATCTTCAGGGTTTTTCATTCTCCTGTTATAGAAGCTGATTATTTTTGCTAGTATCAATTATAGGGAAAGATATTAAAGTATTCACATCTCTCAGTAACCTTCTTTTCCTTTCTGAAAAAAAAATTGTTTTCCCTTCTCTACTTCCAAGTCCTGAATATCTCTGTTATCCCTCAAGACCCTGATATAATTTATTAGCAAAGAGAAGTAGACAAAGATCCAGATGAGACTTCTATTTCCAGCCCTACTGGTAGATTCAACCTTGGGCAGGCCTTTTAGTCTCTCAGGTTATTTTTTTTACTTCCCCACCCAATATTTGATATCAGTAGATTAGACTAGATAACTTCTAAAAACCTTCCTATTCCAAAATTCTAATTTCTATTTCTTATTTAATTGGTAAGAACTTTTTCTTCAAAATGATATTTTAGTTTTCGTGCAAGATATAATGACAAAAAATCTTGCTGAAATGCAGGAAAAAAGTCCTATCTGATGAAATGTTACACTGTAGGTGATATTTTGGGGCAGGACATCTTGTAGGCAACATATCCTGTCTACTCTCAAGGCCGTTCTGCCCATTATGGCCATATTTTCACAGTTCTGAAAAAAACCAAAGGCTCTATCTGAACAATCCATGACACCCAGTACTGAAAGTGATCTTCATTTGCTTTACTGTTTATGAATTAGTGTGCTTGCAGTGCATAGCATTATATTATTTGCAGCAGGCATTAAATATATTACTCAACATTAGAGGCATTAGTCTCAAGCATTAGGGCAGATTAGTACTTGATGTATTAATTTTTGGGGGTTACAATTAAGGCTTTGATTCCTGATTGTTATTATCAAATGCATGGTAGCAACTGAATTGTGATTTAGCTCTTAATTCCACAATGAGCACCAAATTGACAACCCAGTACTAATTAATGACAATTCTTTATTTGTAACTGTGTCTGAGAATAGGTAGCTCATGTCTTTTGATTGTTTTAGAATTTACAGGTGAAAACTTCAACCATAATTTGATGAGGAAATTCTACGTTGAACTTCTACTTCTAGTCTTTTGAAACCCTGGTCATCCCTTACTTCCCCTTCTTCCCACCTATCTGCTAGAAACAAATCTTTGGTCTGCTGCTTTGACCAGGTCTCCACCAGGCACCCATCTTCGTTCCTGAACAAATGAGTCACTCGTCAACCCCAGATAACTGGTGAGTAGGTGAAACATAAAGACTCCAATTCCTGTAATTAATGATATGTCTAGGCCTTCTATCAATTTATTTTCATGAGAGATCAAAAAGTCACTCGTAAACACACCAATGTACAGTAGTATTTTTAGACGGATTCAATGCACTCAGCTTCATAATTTAAGCTTGCTGCAGACAAAAAGTAGAAATCTCTGTAGCTGAGTGTACATATTACTAAAACTATAATACACCACACCATTATTTTCCCAAGGCATCTCTTATCTCTGAAGTAGGGAGAAGTAGCACCCAGACTACACCTGTATGGTCTCTGATGCAGAGACATATGTGCAGATTTCCCAGTCTTCAGAAAAACTGTGTTACTGGGCCAGGTGGGATATATGCATTGACTCCGATCCCAGTGGGGCAATCATGCTTATGCCACAGAGGCTCCTCTCGGCTAATGGTGCACAGTGCATTCTGAATTGCTATCTTCCCACTCTGAATATGGCTGCGCATAGCAGTTGACACTTTGGCACATAAGAAGTATGCCTTAACTCATGAGTGAATATTTCTGTCCACCCACTTCTACAGCATGTACACACGATCACTTGGAGTGCTAAAATCTGACTCCAGTCTCAAATCCCATCACTAGAAGGCTTTCAAGCTTTCCTAGCATTTTCAGCACCATTGCACCCAAAGTACCATTCTATGATATATCTCAATGTTCCCATTGATGGGGCTGTCATCTGCTGGTTCCATCTGTCCCAGGAAAAGAGCATGGTATACACTCCACAAAGCAATCAGTGACGTGAACAAGAAATAAACACCCAGTATCTCTTCACTCCTCAATCATCTCATCACTAGATTTCTGCCTTTCAAAAAAGTTATGAAAATGCCCTGGGCTGTTTATATACCAAGGATTTCAGGTTCTTGTAGGTTGAACGATGGTACAATGATTAAAAGTAGTGTGAAATTCTTTTATATACAACAATAAATGTAAAAGACTCCTGGGCAGGAAGACATGACCATCTTCTTGTTGTCTCCCATTTTATTTTATACCAACTGAAATGAGATACTTAGTATTTATATGGCGACTTTCTCTTGAATAAAAATAGGGTTGTCATGCTTTATGCACTGTACTTGGAACACATGGAGCATAGACTGAGAGACGATTCTCCAGACGATATGCTATGAAGTGATTATCATGCCACTGGGAGGAGGCACTAAGGGGAAAAGAGGCATCGTTCTCTGTAGTGTGTGTTAAAGCCCCACTCTAGTGGGGAAAGTGGAAGAGAGAGTGGAGGAAACCAGTGCTACATTTATGTCTTTTCTGGTTTCCTCAAGGGCTGAGCCCAGATCCTAGGATAGAGTATGGGAATTCTCCAGATGTCCACGGCAGTACCCACAAAGAAGAGTCGCTTTAGCTGGTGTTTGTCCAGCACAGAGGCTGTAGTTCTTTTGTGAGCAAAAAATTCTCAAACTACTCTCAATAATGAGAAGTCCTGGATATAGGACCTGTGTTAGTTCTCACATCAGCAAGACACAAGAGACGAGAATGGGGTGGGTGCAGTGACGTCACTCTCCAGAAGAGGTCCGCCTCACTCTCTCACTCTCCCCCTTAGGCATGCACACTCACACACACACACACACACACACACACACACACACACACACTCCACCCTTCACATCCTAGTCAACACAGCCTCCCATGCAGTAATATCTCTCATCTATAGACGCCCCTGTGTCAAACACATAACTCAAAAATCCAGCCTACCCAAGAAACTGTACTGTCTTTTCTCTCTCATTTTCCCTCTAAAAAAGGCCTTTAATATATATATTAAACCAGATAAACTTTTACTCAGATGTTCACGTGGCTGGAGCAGATTAACAAGGAAAATAATCACAAAATAAATATTTTTTGTTTTGTTTTGTTTTTTTAAAAAAGACCATTTCCCTAGACATTGTCTCTCTCTAACTTGACAGAGTTGCTCGTTTGGAAAGAACAGGTGCTTTGGGGAGGAGCTCTGGATGGACAAGGGGTGCTTGGAGTGAGTCAAGACCCTGAAACTAGGGAGGTCAAGGAAGTGAGGGGACCGGGCGGGGAGGAGACTGTGCGAGGAGAAAGCTACTGCCTGCCCTTAGCATCTGCCCCTGTGTTGATGGCCTGTCTAGTGTTTCCTAAGGAAGCAGCTCCAGGATCAGTCAGCCTGTGGCCGTGACGGCCCGAAGGAGGCAGCATACAAAAAGTAAGAACCGATGTCAGGAGTCACAGAACAAGGACATTTTAAGAAATCTGGTTAAAAAGAATACAAAAGTGACTCCACAGAGGGAGAAAGAACCACCATCCCTCCCATTTTTTTTTCCCCCTCTTGCTTTCTCCAATGACAAGAATCACTTTGAAGGATTTTTGCTTGTTTGCTTCATGATTTGGCTGGTTCTTCTGTGATATCTCTTCCTTGGCTCTTCTCCTTCAACTGCATTCGTTTTTAGAAAGCACCGACTTTACAGTTCGGAGGCTGCTGAGTCGTAGCCTCCTGTGAGTGTGCATGTGTGTGTGTGCATGTGTGCAGTGGCTGTCTCTTTCTCTCCCGCCCACTTCAGCCCAAGCCTCCAGGTTCCATATCCTAGGTGCTGGAAGTCTCATGGAAGCACCCTGTTGGCACGAAGTTAAGGGCTTGGATTATCTTTGCACCCTGGATTTGTGGACCATCTCTCTGCCTGGCAGCATGGCAAGGCCCTCATTAGCTACAGAGTTTGCCTGTCTCATACTCCACAGGATTCGGCAATTTTAAATTGAATGCCCTCAAAGAGGACTGGATCCTGCCCACCTCATTGTTGGCCAGCTTGAGCCGATGCCGGAGCAAACAGGAAAAGAGATCAAGCCGGACTTTGCCAGGTGGAGAGAGCTGGTTGACTCGGTCCCTCAGCTCAATGAGCTGCAGGAGAGCAGAGTCCTGGGAACCTTGAGTATATGGGTAGTCCAGCTGGAGAATTAAATCGCGGATAGCATCCGGGTCAAAGGGCAGGCTATAGCCAAAGACCTGCAAGGTGTTGATTTTCATATAGCCCAAATTCTTGGAGGGATCAGTCATCTCCAGGGGTTCATAGTAGATTGTCTCATTGGAGCTGTCATCCAAAGACTTGATTCGGCTCCGTAGGTAAACATGGACTGTCTCGAAGAAGGTCTTCCACCTGTTTCCCAAGGTGATAGTCCAGTTTTGGCACTGGGCAGCTGCATCCACAGTAGTCCTTTCCCAGTCTGGGAAGTTGCCCTCATTTACAGGCATGAACCAGCTCTCAGAGTGGCTGCCCCCAAAGGGGTTGACATAGATGGCCATGACAGGCTCCAGGGTGCTGTTCTTGGTGAGGCAGATCTGCAGGGACAAGGCCAACATCACATGCACCAGTCCAGGCTTATACTTGTTGCTCTTCAAGGTGAGGAGCATGCGCTTCCTCCAGGAAGGGTCAAACCAGCTGCCCAGACGCATGTCATTGCTGATAAAGATGGAATGTACCTCAATGCGGCTGTCCCTCTTCTGCAGCAGGTACTTCAGCTCCAGATCCTGGAGGTCTGTCTCCAGCCCAAGAAAGTTCTCCAGGGACTCGGCCACCTCTGGCCGGCACAGGCCCTGGGCCAGCACATAGCCTGGATTACAGCTTCCACAGCGTGTGCTATTATCTGGAGCACAGTGGGCACATGCAGGGCCTTCACCCAAGGCACACGGGATGAGGCCCTGGCATGACGATTGGTCATAGGGGCAGGTGCAGCTGTGGCTCTGTTCCAGGAAGGTGCCAGTGAAGGTGCTTTCTCCACAGTACAAGAGAGACTGGATTCGGTTCCACCAGTAGGACAATGACCTTGGGAAGGGGGGATAACAGTGAAACAGGAGTCAGGAGACATGGCCTATTACCGTTCTTGCCTTAGCAGTACATTGGCTAATAGGTAGGGAAGATACAAGTCCCAAATTCTCTGAATGATGAAAACGCTACTGCTCCTTTTGGACAGACTGAGTAAAGTGTGGATCTCAGAGCCTGATGGATCAACTAGAACTATCTGACATCAGACTTCTACTGGAAACAGCCAGGCTCATTTGTTCTGGCTACCATTTCATTCTCTTTAAAAAATGTAGAACCTCTAGTATCAGATTTCAATGTTCTGTATGAGACAGTGTTCCAAACACGCCAACTTTATTCTTACACCAAGATCTCTTTCCTTTGCATTTTCTCTACCTCTGTCACTCATTCACCAAGAGCAGGAATTTGTAGGGATGAGTCCCTAAAACTTCGTATTTCAACTCTTATGTTATCTTTTCAAAGAGCTCTTTCCGGATGTTCCTTTTCAAAGAACCACTCTAGTCACTAACATATCACTTTGTTTTGTTTTAATCCACAATTATGGAATCTAAACCATTGTGTTTACTTATTGTTGACTTGTTTGTGGACTGCTTCCCTAGAATTGCCCAGAAAAACAGGGCACCGTATTATTGCCCAACATATTCTCAGAGATCAAAATTGTTTCTTGTGCAAGATAAGCATTTGATAATTAATTACTGAAAAACTGATATGCCTTCTCTCCAAAACCACTGCTGGCCTGTCCTCTGCCCTTGTACTTTCTCCACAGTTAGAATCACACTTCAAGATCGCAATGACTGCTGTTCCCCTGCCTGGTGTACGCCTTACCTGCTTGTATCAAACAATTTTTGTAGCTTCCTGCACAATGTGACCAAGACTTCTTCTCCAAGGGGTCTTTCTTCTCTAGCCTTTGCCTGCTGAAGTCCATCTCCTTGGTTTACCTCCTGCTACCCTGAGTTTATTTCATGCCACATAGTTACAATTTTTTTTTTACTTTTTACACTTTCTGTTTGCTTGCTAAAAATTCCCTAGTCAATAATATCCCCTATAGCTAAATAGTACAGCATGGACTATGGAAGGAATTAAGGAATGAGTCGATACCTATGACAATATAGCCCCACTTTGTTCTTGAGGACATGAGTCTTGGTTTTCCTCTCATGATTCAGAGCACTGAGAAAATCTAATGTGTATTTCTCATCATGTGTAGTTAGTATAAGCTTTAACTCTACCTTTCTTCCCTAAGAGATTTACCAAAATGGACATGCATGAGTGAAAATTAGAGTAGCATTTGAATTGCTATAATGAGCTTCTCTGTTTTTCCTCTCTCACTTCAGACACAACTCCCAATCAAAAAGGGCATGACAGTAGTTGAAGATCATGAGAATCAGAATGGCTGAGTGAGTCACCATTCACTGCTCTCCCCTGTAGGATGGAGGGCCTTCCCAGGCTTCAAGAGCTGCTGCCTGGAGGTGTGAAACGCTGGCTCTGGAGCTTGTGCTCACCTCTCCTTGGGCAGGCGGAAGCGTGGCTGCCGATGGCAGCGTTTGCAGAGGTTGAAGAGCCGGCGGACGATCCGATGTGTCTTCTTGAACAGTATTTTCAGGCTGGCTCCCAGCTGCTGGTAGCGGTGCTGGAGGCCAGCATCCATGGCCCAGAACTGCGAGATTGCTGTGGAATTCAGGAACCGGTCATCAGGCAGCCTTTTCAGCAGGGCCTGGAACTCTTCTGTAGGCAAGAACACAGGAGCTGAGTGGGGGGCAGAGTGTGGAGTGCTGGGGGAAGGTGGGTGATCCCCAAATGGAGGCCCTTCAGAATCCCTGCATGAGCAAAGGAGCTCTACTGTCATGATTTGTATTTATTTTAATCGACAGCTTTATTGAGAAATAATTAACATACTACAAAATGCAGCTTCAGTTTTTCCATTCTCCCTACACTGATATGCCTCTAAATTTGTAACCACTGAAAAGGCTAGAAGTCCTGCTTTTGTCAATAGCCTTGGGATACATCTCTTTATAGCCCTTTATAAGGTTATCTGTAATGCCATCTGAGGCCAGTCTTCTTCAGTAATACCAGGACACCCTACTGAGAAACAAGTGTGCACACTGACACACAAATGTGGGCACAGAGAAGGTATAGCACCCAGCCCAGAAGTCCTTAGCAAATTTCCACTCCCTGAGATAGGACACTCCTGTATATCCTTCTGTCTGACTCTCTAAGACACCTTTTTGATCTCTTCAGTTGTTTGTCAGATAGCTATTCTTTATGGTAGTAATCTAGAAGCAAACTGCTTTCTGGTTCCAAGTCTGAGTTCTTCCTAGAGCTTCCTGAGTATGCTGTTTTCTGAACTCATGCTCAGATTCACCCTGATGTCATGTTCTAGATCGTATTAGCCCAAAGCTTGAGTTTGTGAAATTAGAATGTGAGATTCTGCTTACTTACTTCCCTCAACTTATTATCCTTTTTTCCATAGATAAAGAAACTGAGACACTGAGAAGCTGAATGAATAACCCAAGAACTAAAGCTAATCACCAAGAGGGTAAGGACATAAAACCAGTTCTTTGGGATGCATGTGTCAAAGTAACATAGCATAGATATTAGGTATAACAGCAACAGTTAGCTTCCACCAGTTGCCTCCTAGACTCATGCTTCATTTAAACACATTTTATCACACACTTTATGTGCAAGCATTGATCCAGGCATCATGGAACCAGTTGCAAGCAAGACAGACAAAAACTATGCCCTCAGTGATGTCAATCTTACCAAAATCCTTAAATGCACATACTATGTCTATTTACATAAAAAGAAAACCCAACCACCTGAGATTCTGGACAGTGATATAACCTGCTTAAAGCCATAGAAATAGGAAGAGTCTGAGCTGGGATCTAAGTGGAAGTCCCCATGTTCTTGCCTTGCACTTCTTCAGCAAGAAGGAATTTTGAGCCAGCCAGCTGCTCACCTGACTCCTCAAACTGCCGGTTGTGTGTGGCCCAGGAGTCCTGGATCTGCACCAAGCTGTCCTCCATGGCCTGGATGTCAGCATCAGGGCAATTGCACTCTGGGAAGGTGGGGCTGCACTTGCACCAGCAGTCATTCTGCTTGCAGACCAGCTCACCCTCGGAGCTGCACGTGATGTAGCTGAGTGCCGCGGCCACAAAGCGCTCACGCAGGTACTCAGGCAGCAGCACCTGCAGGCCTGGGAAAAGGATGCATTGAGAGATGGCTGGATGGAACCAGTGGGGCCCTCTGTTTCCCGCACCCATGTTTGCAGGAATCCTGGCTGAGCTTCTGCTGACTTGTGTATCCTGGGCCCAAGAATGGTCACCTCAAGGCCCCATCTTGCTGTGCTGGTTGGGAAAGAGGGCTATTCCTGCCACAGTAACCGAAGAGGGAGAGTCCAAAAATGCAGATGAGGAATGTCAAAGCCCAAGACCTTCCTGAACTCCACACTTCAGCCAAATTGAGAACATGCGTCATTATAAGAACAAGTTTATTTGCCACACATTAGCATTTTAAGAATGGAAACAGGAAGTTGTTTTGGATAAAGTAATAGCTTACAGCCCTCCTGGGAGAGAAATCAAGGCTTGCTGGCCTTGCTCTGCCTCCAAATGGCATCCTATTTCCATCTTAACTGAAATAAGCAGTAAGCATGCTAGCGCATTACTGACCCTCCTGAGCCTCCATCTAAACTCTGATGACTGAGAACATTGCCTTGATTAGGCTGTAGGGTATTCAGTGACCAGAAAATATGCCAAGTACTTTCTAAGTATGACTGAAGTGAACACTCAGCAGACATCATACTGAGGTTCATATAGGCAAGGGAGTCCATGCACAAAGACCAATTACCTGTCCCACAGCACTAGTTGAGTTTGCTTGCCTGCTCAGCTCACACTGCATCCCCTGAAATGGATGCTCCATCTCAATGGGATTAACTCTTCAGGAGGTTTGAAAGTTGGATGGCAGCCAATGCCTGGACATCAGTCAAACCTTGATAGAGAGGAATGACTCTCAGCCCCCTTTCAGTTGACTTCCTATGATCCTCGCTATAATGTACCAATGTACTCCAAATTTTACCATCTGTGATGGGTGTCAGTGTACTAGGAATAGCACGCACTCCTATATGGCTCCAGGCCACATCCAAGGCAGCTGTCAGAAGCTTCCCAAAGGGTGAATGAAGGATGCATATGGCACTGGATGCAATCTGGGCCTCCTCTGAGGTCGGACTTGTGGGAAGCTCCATGATTTTGGAACATTGTAAGAAACTAGTGGAGCAAAAGATGGGAGGATTTCTGAATATATGCTTCTCTTTCCTAAAGAGTATGCTTACCCTTTATATCCCTAACCTTGCCCTTGTCTTTGGCAGGGAATCTTAGAGCCCAGAGTATAACATCTCTATCTGGACAGATCTTAAACTATACTTTAAAATCAGCAACAGCACATGGGTGTTGTTTTTGCTTGAGGCCCACCTCATACTCCGAACTGCTTCTGAGTTCTCCTCTCTTGACTCTGTGCCAGCCTTGACCCTGGAGCAGCCCTCTACATAACCCTCTCCACAAGCTTGCTTCCAGAACTTTCCCTCTCTAAGTACTTTCCTCACACCTCGCTCACCATCCCTCCTCTTCCACACAACATTTCCCACTGCTGTAAAATAAGTGCCCTGAGCAAGGTCTGGATGAGTTATGGGCTATAAAATTAAATGGCATAAACTATTCCAAATGAACCATCAGACATTTTGAACTTCACTCATCGCTAATTTGCAGATGCAAACCCATCGCATCCAGGGCCACAGGAGAGAGATGTTAATTGTATTAGGTAGCTCTAAATAAAAGAGTCTTTTACTTTTCTGTATTATGTATTTCTTGATTTCTAAAGTATTACTGGGTCGCATTTGGCTCAGCTTGCCTGGAATCTGTAATTGTAGATCATGGGTGAAAGCTATTGATTTTGTAATACCAAGACAATAATATCTTAAATAGTTCAATTCAGTTAGGTCTTAAAAAAATAAACTTTTCCTGCCAAATCAGTGTGCATGAGCCCTTCTCTACAATGCTTGGGAAGTAGCGACAAAGAGGTGATGCATGTCCCATTATCTCCCAGCCTGAAAACCTTGTATGGCTTCCTGTCCTCTTTCTTTTCCAATTTTACTTGCTCTGTATCTATCAAAAGGCTCCTATTCATTTCAAAGTCTTCTCCTGGCTTTGAAGGTCTTATGAGGACCACAGACTAATAACAGAAAGCAGAGCCGCTTTCGGGTGTGGTTACAGTAACCAGGGATCCCAAGGATTATAGAGCTCATATTTGAACTAGATTTGGTGACCTCCTAATCATTCAACAGAGGCCAGTTATTCCACAGTGTTTCTTTAAGGAACAATAAAGGTATTTTTCAGATAACAAAGGATATCACTGAACTGGGTCAAGGCTTCTAAGGACAGATGTGTGGTTCCTTGTAGGTTAGTGTTCTTGGGAAAGACTATGAGACAGGCTGCTTTAGGTGTTAAGTAGAGCTGTGGGTGTAAGGCAAACCACCAGAGGTTTTTCTCAAGAGAGTGATAGAAAGCTGTTAATATAGGTCCCAGGATTTCAGCAGTTCTTATCTTGAGATAGGCTTAAAAAATGGGAAGGCAGGACCCTTTCATGCTCTCTGGTGATCCAAGTGTCCCACCAGGAGTGAGCAGTGTGAAAAGCATCACAGAGCTGCTTACCCAGTAACTGCACTTTGTTCTCTGGACTCTGCACCAGGACAGAGCTGACCGAGTCTAGATTGTCATAGTTGCTGCAGCCCAAAGGACCGGTCCTGGTTTCTGTGACCTAGAGACGGAAAGAGCAAGATACAAGTTTATAAACCAAGAGGAAGTTTTCCTTCTGCCCTTCCCTTCTCTGGTCATCTAGTTGGTGGCTCCATGTCTTATCTTGGTCTGGCCAAACCAATAGCATGTGTCTTTCCCTGACGCCAGCAGGTTAAAGTCATTATAACGCCCATTCTCGTTGACTTTTATCTACTTTTGAAGACCTACAATGTCTCCAATGGTTTGGTTTTGTCGGTTTTGTTCTTTACTGTTTTGTTCAATTGTATTATAACTAATGGTATAGGCAATTCTATTAGAGATAGCGGGAGGCATTATGGTAACCATTGTTGATCACCTTGTATTATGTTTTCACATTATCTATTATGTCCACCCTTTTGACTTGACCGATTCTGTTCTGTTATGTCACATTTGGTTTTACTCTCTTCCAAAAAAGTAATAAGAACCGTGAGAGCAATGAAACCCAAAATGTGTAATAGTCTTTGTACAAAAGAGAGGAAAAGAAAGTGCTCTAAACTATATAACTGCATGTATATTTAAGTGTATAAGATAGAATATGATATCACAGAGTTTTATTGGATCATTGAACAGAACTGTTTGCAGTATCATTGATGGAATGTCCACTTTACAAGCTTTAATTTTGTGACTTGAACAATTATTTCTAAGATGACAATATGTAATCCATTAACTAGTAATTTCCTACTGTTCATTTTTTTTCTGCAAATCTGTATAACTTGTACCCTTTCTCTGCTTTTTTTTTCTTTTCTCCTTAAATAAAATTTTTAAAAAAGTCACTTCTCTTGTCCTGTAACTGTGAATATGTGTACTATATAGTTGGCAGCATGGCTGTACATACGGAGGAGTCTTTCAGAGACAGGCAAAGGGAATTTGTGTCTGGGAAGAGAAAATTCATTGTAGAGAGACGAAGCTGGAGGAGTGAGCCCTTTGGGTTAGAGTCAGCCCTTTCCTCTCCCAGAGGAACACAGGGGACCAGGTGTGCTCCCCTGGCCCTGCTGACAAACCCAGCTGTATCTACTTGATGTGATGCTTACAGGTTTCAGGGATCTTGAAAATGAAAAGCCTAGAGAAATATGAATTATGAGTATTATTATTAGTATTAAACATTTAAGTCCCACCTCTGCACTGACATGTCCTTAGAGAAAATCAGCCATTGGCTTACTGCATATTTTAATAACTGTATTAAATATACATAAACTCTTATAGCCATGTAATATTCCAAAACACCATAGTCATTTTAAAATATTATAAAGCTGGCCCATCAGTTTTCCCTGATGTTCAAAGTATAAGATGAAAAATGGGGAACTTTAAATGCACTGAAATAATTATGTAATAAGAATGATGGGGACCTGAGGCCCTTACTTCTCAGGATTTCTGAAGTCTTTGCCAACAATCAATCAACCAATCAAGGAGTATTTATTGAGCAGCTTCTGCTCAATTCCACACAATTCATCAAACATTCATAGAGTGCCTTTCTGCAATTCCTCAGGGAAGTCTACCTGGATCCCCCTGACCTCTTTTCATAGCTCCTGGCACCTTTCTGCTTGGCAGCAGGTATGTAAGCTGCAGCTTTGCATTCTCTTTGGAGTGTGCAGTTCATGTTCGGGTCCATGTGGTATAGGCGCCACAGAGGTAAGCTCATATTTATTTTGTTTGCTGTGGTGTCATGAGCAACCAGGACGGTGTCTGCCACACAGCAGATTCTCAATGAATCAGAGAGTATATGATTAATGTGTTCCAGACATCGCAGAGTGGTGAGGTGGGCACAAAGATGTAGGAGGGACATAATGGATCCTCTCAGACCCAGGTACATACCCAGGTGACTGTTTGACATCCCAGTCACAGCAGAAAAAAGTGTTACAGAGAGCACCAAGGAAAGAAGACCTCTAAACAAAGAGGGAATGGGAGAAGTAGTGAAAGAAACTCTACCTCAGCGGATCCTTAAGTATAAGAGGAAAGTGGAAAGATAGAAAAGGCAGGGAAATAAATCTACTATGAAGAAAAAAAAAAGGAGCAGCAGGATCTAAAGCATGAGGCATGATTTAAAGCATAGGATATGTGCCCTGCTAATTACCATGGAGCATTATTGAGGGAGTGTGTTTGAAAATGAACCTGGAACAAAGTATTCACATGGAAGACGGTGTGATACTGACTAAAAATGGGGGGGGGGATGGGGGCGGAGTTGTTCTTGGAGTTTGAAGTAGCCTGAAAAGGCTTAATGGAAAGGTGAGCCATAAATTGGTTTTGAAGGAAAAGCAGATGAGAGGAAAGAGGGAGGAAATTGTAGAGGTGATTCCAGACAAAGACCAAGGGAGCAGCAATAGACACAGTGCCTGCAAAGCAGCGAGATGAAATCCCAGAGAACACAACCAAGACCAGGACACCAGCAGCAGTGACCTACGTTTCCATTCCATTGGACCATCACAGCAACTTTCTGGAATAAATTTCATGATCACAACTCCACACAAAGAAAGCCAAGGCTCTGAGAATTGTAGTGCTTGAAACATAGAGCTTTTAGATGGCAGAAAGAAGGTTTTAACATTTGCACTTTCAGATCCTAGGTTAGTACTTTTTCCTCTCCTGAAAAGGCAGGTCAAAGCACTACAGAAAATAAAGTGAGCTTAAGCCACTTACACTTGTCACTGACTAAAGACAAAATATTTTAAACATACCAGTCTACCCAACATATCCTAATGATCTTTCCTCTTTTCAAAGTGTTAACATTGGACAAAACAATTTGTTTTGGCTTGAAATCAGTATTGATGTCCTTGTATTACTGCTTAGGAAAGCAAGCCCAGATGAGTAAAGTGACTTACTCAGGGAGACACAGCTAGACACCTGCAGGGCTAGGATCTATCAAACTTACTCTTTCTTTCCATTATCTGCTTATTTGACAAGCATCCAAGGAATATCAAGAGCTCAAAAATGAATAAAACTTAGCTATTTCCAGTGAGGAGCTTGTAGACAATAGAAACACTTCCATAATCCCATTTCTTTGGCCACTCCACCTGGGCCTGCCTCCCTCCACATGTGGGTTCCAGGTGCTGATACTTCTTCCTAACTAAGTCTCTTGGCAGCTGTTAGACAAGACCAGTTTTACTTCTATTTCTACATGATGTAAAAGTCCTGATGGAAAGCGCCATAGCCAAGAACTAGCCTAGCAACTCTATGGAAGCCTCTTCCTCTTGGGATGGAATGGGTTGGAGACTGGGTAGATGTTGGAGTGTGGTACATGGGATACTAGGCTCTTCTTGCCTCTGGGTAAGCTGGCCACCAAAATGTCAGTTTTATACTAGTTTTTCACCTACCCACCTTCAAATTTGCTACTTGCCAACTGTGTCTTCACACGGAGAGAGATAACAAGCTTTATGTAGGAGTAGGATGTGACCCAAGGAAACAGACCCAAGGAGAAGAGCTATGACAGGAGGTGTCCCTTCCTCACCCTTATACCCACCCCTTTCCCCAGCCACCACCACTCTACACCCCACCAATTTGTTCAGCATCATGAAACTGGCTCTGATGCTTATGATTTTTTCCTCTGCTGTTTCCAAAGGTCAGTTCTCTAAAAACACAATCAGGTAAATAATTGAAAGGGCAAGTAGCTTCCTTTCGTTAAATGTGACACAAAGATGGGAATGCAGAAGTAACATAGGCTTGAACTTCACGCTCATTTCCTGATAGAAAGATCTGAAGCCACATTTACAAAAGTGAGGAAATCTCCTAGTCACAGCTGTTTTTACAGATGATCTCCTCTGAGATCATCTCTCTCCCTCCTAGACAAGTAAGAGGTGAGGACAAGAGAGACAGCTGAACAGGGCTCCCCTACGAACGTGGCCTGGCATTCACAACCAGTGCACAGGATGGCCTGAGACAAACATCCCACTGCACCCACTCAAGGAAGCCCCCGGGTCTATCAGAGAGAGAGACAGAGAGAGAGAAAGAGAGAGAGAGAGAAAGGAAGAGAGAGAGAGAGGATAGAGGGAGAGAGAGAGGGAGAGAGAGAGAGAATGTTGTGGCTTTCTGTTTAGAAGAGGTACACAGCCTGGGAAGATTCTAAAGACAGCCACAGAGGTAATAGAAAGTGCAGATCACTGGGGCAAGCATGTTCAAAGAGAGCTTGAGATAAGCTTCCAGAAAGGGGAAATAATTGTGTGCTAATTGGCCTGTTGACAGAGCCCATCTTGCCTTCAGAAGGCCCTGATGGATCTCACGTTCATTAGCATATCCACTTTTCCATAAATACCAGATTGTGCAAACCTCGTTCTGGAAAACCTTCCCCTGTCATCACATCCAGACTGCTCTTGTCCTACCTGGGGGAGGACACCTGCAATGCTAAGAGCACAGTGAGATGGGATTCTAATTGTGCATGATGAGTCTGAGCTCAGAGAGCACCGCTGATGGTGTATATGCTTAAAAGGCTGCAAAGTGAATCCCAGGCAATTGTTGTGAGGAATTCCCACAGGTCATTTGTATGTGTGAGTTGGGGGGTATATCATGACCTCCAACTTGCTGAGCAGGTGCTGTGCCACTGAACTAGAGTCCCCAGCACTCTCCAGCAGCCTAACATCCTGGTGAACTTTTGTATGGCTTCCCTTCAGTTAACTCATAAGCATTTTGAACCCTCCCCCACAAGTCCTTCTATATCTTTCACTAAATAGACAAAGTAGAGTGTGGATTATAACTAAGAAAAAGGTCCTCTTCCATCCTTTTAGTCCTAATCCTTTTGAACACATTACAAACAAGATCATGTACACAGCCACTTACAGTTTGCAGAATGTTTGCACGTGGACTATCTTATTTGGAGTTTCCCATCCTATGTAAGATTCAGGGGTAGACATGCACCGTACTTTTTATCATGTGGAGCAGAGGTGTATCAGTCAGAAGAGATAACAGCCTCAGTGTCCAGGCAGGATTGTGGAGATCTCCTGAAGTACATTTGCCCTTTGGGTGCTCTCAGAAATTCTAAAGATTTTGTGGGAAGGTAAA